TGGGTTTGAGGTCGAACTTTCAGCCGTACCCTTGCAAACATCATCTCTGCAGAGAGGGCAAACGCTGAAAACGAACATAAGAACAAAAAGAAATTAGAACTCAGCTCGTAATCAGCCCAAGTCATCTAAAACAACAAGCATGGTAGTGATAGATTACCCATGTATATCCTTGAGCCATTTGTCAACACATGCCATGTGAAATTCATGAGAACATGGAAGGACTCGAATTTTATCTCCTTCCTCATAATCAACCAAGCAAATGTGACACCTGTAAATAAATTTTTCCGATACTGGTCAGGATTAACTAGAGAGAACAAGAATTCAGTTCACAAGGCGTTTGAAGGGAAAATGAATACTGCTGTGAACAGTAGAATGCATGCTGGCCATACAGATTTATTCAGAATCATAAATGAACAGTAGATAAATGATTTCAAGTCCTTGATTTATGCGTGGAATTAAGGGCTGTGTTTGGCCTCTGGTTGAACCGGAGCTTTGAAAAATTTCAAAAAAAATTTCATGTTTTTGAATTGTTTTGATGTACTGATATCAAAAGAAAATTTTATACATATATATATATATATATATATATATTATTTTACTTCAAATTAATATTTTTTTTCCTTCGCTTTCCCATTTTGAATCAAGTTAAAAAGGAATAAAAATTATAGGCTAGCATGATCCAGTACCACGGTTCACATGGTCAGAATTTTATTACCACCTCACCACATGTAAAAGTAGATTCGGTAAGCAAGTACAAATGCGGGGAGAGAGCATGTTGCAGGCAGGTACAAGAAGCCATGGTATCAATGGATATTTCTTGTACTACTCTGTGACCAAGCACGAAGATGGCTCCTTGTACAATTTCGCACAGCTATACAGGACATTTTACATACATATAATGTGTTAGCCTCATGTCTACACGCATCCCTTTTAGGAAGTAACAAAAACATCTACTCCCTAAAGGTTTTCTTTCTTTATTTTGGTTAGTAAATTACTTGCCTTGTGTCATTTATTATTCTCTTCTTTTCAAGCAGAAGTTATTGCTAATGTTAGTTTTGTATTATTTTATAAGATTTTCACTTACTGTTGTTCATGCTGTGCCACATTCTCAGTTCCATGAGACTTTTGATAATTCTTCAGAGGTAACGAATTTACAACAGCCTCAGGAGCAGGAAGAGAGAGCATAGAAGGTGAAAGGGATAAGTGATGGCGATGAATTTCCTCTAAAACCTACAAAACAAACATGATAAGAAAACCATGAGAAGTAAGACTATGGGACGATTCTGCATATGTGATGCTTAAGAACATGCTTCACATAAGACGACAAATGTTAAAAATTCCATGCCCATTCCACTTAAAAAGTCTCTATATATTGTACCTGATGAGTTAACACAGTTGTAAAGGTTTTTGGAAAGTAGATTGTAGTTAACATGAAGGAATCATTTAAGTTTATGTGTATCAATGCTTTCAATAAAGAAAGACATATGAAAGCTAAAAGATGTAATTTGGACTAATGCAATCTGTTGACGCTTCTCAAGGCATAGAACTAGCGGAGTGCCTCAAACATAGTCACCATAAAAGAAATCTATTTACCTCAAAAAGTGCATCTGTCAACAGAATTATTTGGGAAATATTTGCATGGCTGCTAGACTCCTCAGCCACAGAAGAGGGTTCACATAAACATGTACCATTACGATGAAGGCCAGCTGGGCACAAGGAAGCTTCCCAACCTTGTTCATCATGCACATCATGAAATCTTTCTCTCTGCATAATGAATGAAATGTAATAAAAAAAAATACAGGAAATATTAATCTGTGAAGCATAACCAGGTAAAAATAGTAACAAGAATTCTAAATCAAAATGAATTGCATGTGTCAAAGAACCTCCAGTTTGATGAATTGTTGATTATATGATCAAATAAGTTTTCAGTACATAAAAAACTTTCAAGGGTCTTTTGACAATTTATCCCATAAACAGATTGCATCAGAAGGAAATGTATAAACTGTTACCTCATATCTTGATTGCCACGGTCGTTCTCTCCTGCGTCGACTTCTAGTGCTAGGATATCTAGATCCACGACCAACTCCATCAAAATGTAGATCGCCACTAAAATCGAGGAGCCATCTGTCATGAGATCCTAGATCATCAGCATGACTAGTTGTGAGAACTAAGGTTTGAGAGCCTCCATTCCTTCTCAAACTGCTTCTAGAAAAAGCATCCCAAAACATCCTTATACTATTCCTTCTTGCCTCACGATTACTAATTTCTGCAAAGCTACTTGAGAAAATGTTGGATTGTATGCTCACCACATCAACAACAACCAATCTTGCAGCCCTCGCTTCTTGTTCCCCATCAGATGAGACAAATTCTGAAAGTGGTTGTGGAGGTACTAAGGAAGCAGGAATAACAGAATTTGTATTGGAGAAATCAATACTTGCATCTGAAACAGAGTCCTCATTCGAATCTAGATTCTCAGATTCCGGACCTACAACACTTGCCACCGTTGTAACATCAGAGACAGATGCTGTTGGTGCCTGTTCTTTTACAGAAGCACTGGCTGCATCAGCTTCCATAAGACTGTCATTGACATTTGACTGCTGAGATTGTAACTCGCTATTCTTAGAAGCAGGACTATCCTCAACCTTACCATTACTAATTCGAGATAAATCCCCACTTTCAACACTGGAACTTCTTAACCCAGTTTCCGAACCAAGGTTAGAAAATGAGGCTTGCTTAGAGCTCGCTGACACATCATGACAAGTAGCTAGATTTTCAAGAGATCCTGTCAATGATTCATCTACATGATCACCCATCTGAAAGTCAAAATCAGTCTCAGAATTACTCCATTACAAGATACTTTAGTCAATTTTCGATTTCCAAGATAGGTTTTTGGTTTTCTCCCTTGTTTTACCGTAACCCAGCACATGAATGGCACAGAAGGATCCATATCACCGACCGCAACTGATTTGGGATTTGGTCTTTGTTGTTGATATAACCAAGCACAAATATATAAGAATAACTCAAGGCCGTTTAGAATTGCTTTCCAAATAAAGTTTCTAAAAAAATTGAAAAAACAATTCTTAAAATTAGTTGCTTTTATGTTTTTTTATTGATATACTATTATCAAAAATCATTTTTAAAAAATTAAAAAATATTGTTTTGATGCAAAAAAAAAAATCTCAACCGCCGTAATCAACTTATAAATTCATCGAATAATCGTAACTTGCAACCAGAACTTGTCACGATACAGTGGACAATTACTTGCAATATAAGTTAAGTGAACTTCAGGTTCGTGAGATATTGACTTCAAAACATTTGCATCCAAACCAAAAAAAAAAAAGAAGAATAGAAGAGAAAACATCGAAGACCCATTTCAAGATTCTATCTTTTCCTTCCATTCGTTGTTTTTCACTTTATTGTAACATGTTCTAAGCAACCGAAGAAAAGAACAAATAACTAAAGATAATCCCATTAAAAACAAAACCATTAATGCTAAATTATTTTCATCAGTCAGCTAATTGATCAGAAAGAATTCTTTAGTACCAAACTTAAATTAAATAACTTCAAGTTGATGGATGGATTCATAAAAAGAAATCTAAAGAGAAGGAGAGAAATGATGTTAAAGAACCTCAATAGGAGCTCGAGAAACAGAACAACCACAAAACAGAGAAGCAAGGGCTCTGCGCTTGAACCTGTTAGTCCCTGATCCTGAACCTGAACCTGACCCATTTAAACTGCTTTTACTTGAACCCATATGTAATTTTTCTTGAGAGAAAACACAGAGAAAGAGCGGAAATAGAATTTATGTAGCAGGGGAAGGAAACAACGGAGAAGAAAGCACAAGTCTTTACCAAGAACAAAAGAAACAAAAAAGCAGTTGTCTTTGCCTTTTTACTATGTCACTAAAAACTACTCGGTGGAATCCGGGGGCGTTCACGTAAGCAGATGGGCCCGCTGAACGGTCGAGCTCCAACCAGTAACATTTGGGAAAATTTAAGCGGGACCCGTCAGGGCTTGGATTTCCACGAAGCTTGCTCTAGCTTGCATTTGAAGTAGTAGCGGAACACTCACCCTGGTTTCCTTATATTATGATGTTTGAAAGTGTTTTAAAAATATATTTATTTAAAAAAAATTAATTGAATTTTTTAAATTATTTTAATATATCTATATGAAAAATATAATATATATATATATAAAGCGTTTTTGCTGTCAAATTTTCAACCAGCAATTTCATGGTTGTAAAACTGGATATAGAAATTGATCTGAAGAAATAATTAATTTAGTAGATCATTCTGTTAACTTGCCTGCATGTATTAAAATTGTATTTTTTTTAATAGGTTTTGACAGATTCAATCAAGTTACTAAAAAACCGAATAGATTAACTAAGATTTACCATATCAGTAATTTAATTAAACTAAAAACTTAATGTAAATCAAATTTTAAAAATTAGATTCTTAACCTGCGGGACAAGTCAAGTTGACAATTACTGAAAAGGAGAGGAAAACGCAAATTTTTCAATCTGCAATAGTACATTGGATTATTGGCTCGTAGGCTAAGAATTGGATAAATCTGAGCTTAATGTAAGAAAAATATTGGGCACTGTTAAAAAAAGCAATAAACTTAAAATATAATGGATGTTAAATAATTATTTTTTAAAATATTAATATGATGATATATTGATATTAATAGTTATTTATTTTAAAATTTTAAAATAGTAATATATTTAATTAATTTAATATAACCGATTTGATTTAATGACTTAAATCAAGATAACTTAATAAAGATAAAAATAAAATATAAAACATCACTTTCAATAAATCTAAATTTAATATTAAAAATTAAAATCAAGATAAAAATAAATAAATACAAGAAATCAATAAAGAACACCACTGAAATTTTTTTAAATAAAATTACAAATCATAATTTTCAAAGCACCTAAAAACAACTTGAAAAAAAAAATCAATACACTATAATAGTGTTATGGAGTGAGGCTAAGTATTTTTTTTTTTAATTAGGAGCAGTATTTTCCGTTCAATAACGAGGTATGGCGGTAGAGATGAACGGCCAAGATTAGGTGGGTGAACAATAAAAGGTGGAGATGTGAGATTGAAGAAATCTTTCAGGAAGTTGATGAAACGCTGGATTGGTATTTTGCAGTAGGACCAGTGACTTATTTGGTCAAATCTTACTGTAGATAAAGACTTCAAGGAAATGTAATTGCTGTTGCTTTTCAAATAGTTTTTTGTTTTTCATACTAAAATACATTAATTTTTTAAAAATTATTTTTAATATAAAAAAAAAAACCAATACACTATAATAGTATTATGGAGTGAGGCTATGTATAGAAGGTGGAGATGTGAGATTGAAGAAATCTTTCAGGAAGATGAAACGCTGGATTGGTATTTTACAGTAGGACCAGTGACTTATTTGGTCAAATCTTACTGTAGACGAAGACTTCATATATATCTTTTGGTTTTAGCAACCTCTGTACCTTCCTGTGTGTGTAACACTTGCCGAGTAGCTTCCCAGATCTGAAAACACGTTCAAGCTTTCGAGCAGAGTCGTGCATCGTCAAGGCATAAATCAAATTGTGGGTCGTGTTAGACGCAAACCATACGGAGAACCGAAAACATCTGCATGGAAGTTTCTTACTGACCAAAATTCCTTATTTTGAAAGCAATTATCCGTGGGCCAAAATCAATGAAAAAGGATAAGAGACTGGTTATCAAAACAAGGCAAGAACTCCAGGGGGTTTCCCCCCTGCAATGGCGTTGCCCATATGCTAACATGCACAATGATCATGATAAATGACGGAACAGACAAGCATGAGGCAATACAATTGCAGATAGGAAACAGAGCCATGAAAAACTTGTTCCAGACAGGAGAAAACTCTTGGTGGGAGAGATTTGGAAACGATGAATATTACTGACAAAAATCAGAAATAACATAACACCCAGCAAAATAAAGCAATTAATATCCTCAAAATTTCAATCTAGATCATCCTTGATAGTAACAGAAACAGACCAAAATCTAGGATACAAGGAAAACATAAGGATCAGTCCATTTAATCTGAAGGCTGATAAAACAGCCAAGATCGCCTATAGGTATATGAATCTCTGGCTGCATCACGTCATTTGAGAATCAAACCCCTTACATGCCTGTAAAAACTTTCTTCGCACCACCAGAAGATCCTGCTGGAATTACCTTCAACACATTGAACCTCACTGTCTTTGACAATGGCCTGCAAGATTAAAAAACAAATATATTTCATCACATTTTGCAAGTGTGATGAAAAATGATTTGGATTTGAAACAGAAGAAAAATGCTGAATACAGACCTGCATTGACCAATGATGACATAGTCTCCTTCTTTGACACGGAAGCATGGGGAGATGTGTGCTGGGATGTTTGAGTGCCTCTTCTCATATCTGATGGATACCAGCGAGACAACAAATATAACTTAGCATTCAGAAGGAGAGGATGACTTGTTGCCATTTTATCGAGAAAAAAACAAGATGAAACAGTAGCATGAAAATTGAATAAACAAGCTTGTCCTTGCCTCTGGTATTTTTTGACCCAGTGAAGGTAATTCCTCCTCACGATAATGGTCCTGTTCATTTTTGCACTATGGCAAGTACCAGACAAGATACGTCCTCTGATAGAAACTGTCCCAGTGAATGGGCATTTCTTATCAATGTAAGTTCCTGAAAACATGATATACAACCTCAATTATAAACTGCTTTAAGCGTGTACAATGGCAAGAAGGTGCAAGATCAGCACATTCTCCTGCTCAGCATACAAGTCACTAGCAATTTCAAATATATAATATCAATCAATTGAAGCACGCATCAGGCAGACAGCTAACTAGCAACTACATAACAACTTCGAGATAGAAAAGTAAATGAGAGGATAAATAACCTTGAGCTGTCCAGTGCCAGGACACTTCAAACCACATCAAAGGATGCAGAGCAAATCACCCTATAATTAACCATTTACAAGTGTGTGTGTGTGTGTGTTTAACATATGCCAGTCCGCAATGACAAATTATTGCAGCTACCACACTCCATCAGCTATTCAACAATCAGATTCCAGCTAAAAAGAAAATATATATGATGATGATGAATTTTAAAAAACGATTACTACAAGCACTCAGAACAATAATGAATCAAAGAGAAAAACACATGCCAGCGAACTGATTTATAGGTGAATTAAAACAATATTCCAAGAAAGATGCTTTGTGCTACTGTATTCCTACTAATATTAGGAATGAATAGAGATTCTGCCAACAAATTGCTCAGTAGCACCGCAAGCATAGACAGCTTAATCAAATAAACTAAGCAGTAGAAATCCAGTGGGGCACGGTGGGTCTAAGCAACCCTATAGAGCAGAGGACACTGGCAGGGTTCTAAACTAACAAAAGTAACTGCAAATCAAGTTTTTCTTGAGCTTAACAGCAAAACCTCTTCCTGATATTAAGAAAAATACAGCAGAGTCTCGCAAAAACAAGACAACTTCGACATTTTCAAACCAAAAAAAAACCGGATCAAAATATAACACAGGTTCATAAACACACAAAAAGCAGCATTTAAATGTCTCCACAGAAACACATAACATTAAACAACCAAGAAGCTAGTAAAGTGATAAGAGGAGCAAACCTTCAATGGCATCTCTGGGTGTCTTGAAACCCAACCCAATGCTTTTCCAGAATCTGTTTCCTCCCTTACCAGGCCTCTTTCCCTTTCCAGTTTTCTTCGAGCTAAAAAACAAAAACAACATTAAAACAAACACGCACAGAGAAGTAACACCATCATAAGCATGACAATAACAAGCAGTAGTGCTTTATATTACCTAAGGAAAACCTTAGGCTGCTTTAAAAATGCCTTCTCCGTCTACAGAAAAAATAACATACACAAATCAGATCGATACGAGATTTAAAGGACGCATCGTTTTAGTTCATGAGAAAAAAGCAAACAATATCAGAGAGAGAGAGAGAGTGTACCTGCTCAGCCATGGCGGTGGTTGTTGAGAGATGTCTGCTGCTGCTGCTGCTGCTGCTGCTGCTGCTGCTGCTGCTGCTGCTGCTGCTGCTGCTGCTGCTGCTGCTGCTGCTGCTGCTGCTGCTGCTGC